ATGACTAAAGGCTTAATTGAATTAGAGTTAGAAACTTGGTATTTATATAATCATGTAAATTTTTTTACCATTTTGTTCAAAATTTTTAAAGTTCTATTTATTTACCTGCTTTTAGAAAAATAATACTTATATCACTTTTGAACATTCAGAAAAGGATTATCAATCAAACTGATATATATACTTGTAAATGATGAAGCTGATAATGGTATTGAAGCTTGTGTTATTGATGTATCATTTTGACTAATTAGTAAGGGTAGATTTTGAAGAAACTTACATAAGTACGCTGGTCTTTCTTCTTCCTGTAGATTAAAAAATGTTTAATAAACAAAAAGGAAGGCTGAAAATAGTATTTTGATTTAAATCATAATAAAATAAACTAACCTTACTTAGAATCCAAACATCCAATATATGAATAGCATTTCTAATAATATATTTATAAAATGAGTTATCAGCTGGTAACATCAAAGATTGTCTCACAATTTCATATGCAAATTTCTAATTCTTAGGACCTAATACTATAGATTTTAATATAGGTGTAGTTGGTGAAGAATATGAAGAAATATTGTCAAACATTCTATGATTATCAAGATAATAATGAATAAAGAATGTAATTAAAGCTTTAAATATTACTGATAGACATTTTTGAAATCCATTTTCTTTTAATTGAAATATATAAAAAATTAGTAAAGCTGAAAAAATGAAAAAAAAAATAATAAAGTAAAAAAGTAAAGCTTATTAATTTTATCTTGATTTTTAGGTAATAATCTAAGACATTTAGTATATTGAAGAAAATTTTTATAAGATATTGTTTCTTTATTAATTCAAAATGAAACTTTGCAGTAGCTAATGCTACATCAATTCCTATTCTTACAGCAATCCTATTATTAGGTTTAATACTTTCTATTGCAGAAATTCATAATTCTCTGATGGTAATATTGGTCTAGCTGCAACATGAGCTAATCTAACTAGATTACATACATTTACTTGAATTAAAATTACCACATCATTAAATATCGATAAATGTAGATTTAGAAATAAAGGACCCTAATGATCACCTGATAAAAATGGATTGGATATCAATCATCGGATAAATCCAGTGCTATATAGATCAAAATTTTCAATTAATGGGATTGACATCATGTATTACTAATTAAATTTATTGATTTACTATAAAAATTGTGAAATCGTCAAAGTTTAAAGTTCTATAAAAAACTATTAGCTGTGTCACTCAGAAGTATAACCTTAATTACGAATCGAGAAAAACTATTTTTAAAGGTAGATATATTATTGCACTCTTTGCTTCATACTTAGTTTAAAAGGATTTTGATCATAAAGTTAGCATAAAATTTCATATAAATTTCTAAATCCCGAAATGTCTTTGGATAATACACATAAAAATACTTTAGAAACTTTAAGAATATCTAATGATAATAACGAAACTGGAAATAAGGAAACTGTTACTTTTACTTTGGACGAAGAATACTTAAAAAATATTATTAACAAACTATATGTAGAAGATACAAGTGAAACAGATGATGTATCTGATGACGATGATTCAACACCAGAATCAGACTTAGAAGATAATAACATAATTATCGAACAGAAAGAATCTAAAACTTTAACCAGATGTATCATTGTTGATAAAATAGATGGATGTATTAAAAGGTGTGAAAATTTGAAAAGTTTTCAAAAATTATGGCAGCTTTGTAGTGTATGGCAAATAGATGGAAAAAGTATTGTTAAAGCAGATAGCATGTTAGAACGGTTAGGTGTTTGTAGTTATCATTTTAACCATGATCAAAAAAATCTTCATGATCCAGGTTTTAAACAAACGAAAGGTATAAGTCAAAGTATACTTCATTGAAAAAGATGTTTATTTTGTGAAAAAAATTATTATTTTTTTACACGGGTTTAGGATGTGAAAAGCATTCATAGAAAATATTTGAAAAAAATATTCAAGTAATTTGTAATGATCAATATAACTGTAATGCATTAAAATTATGTAATTCTGTATGTGAACGTAATTTTAATAAAATTAAATATTCTTGATATGTATGTTGTGATTGTTATGAACGTGAAGGAGGACATCTTCATATTAAACCAAGAAAAGGATGGGAAATGTCATCATGTGAAGAAAAAGGATATCATTAAAAGGATAATGAAAATATTTTAAAAATATTGTCACAATGGCTATCAAATGTTGCAAAAAATGGAAATTCTGAATATCAAAAAAATATACTTATAGCCATTTTGCCTTAAATTATCCCATTTTTAAATTTACAAAATCAATCCAATGCAAATAACGCAGATAATGATTCGAATCCTATAGTAAACTATTTTGATTGTAATATCTCAAGTTATTTTATATTAAAAACCATAATGAAAACAAATCAAATTTCTATTCATCTTCAAAAAGAATTAGACAAGTAAGAATACAAAGAAATTGGCCAAAAAAATGGGATAAGAATTATGGAAGTCATATAAATACTTTAAAAGAAATATAAATGACTTGCAAAATCCTGAAAGTCTTAATAATTATATCAATATATTTCCTAGATCTTTAACAACTTTTTTGAAATCAATGCTTACATCAATATTGGAAAATAAAACTATAGAATTCAATTGAAATGATATTCAAAAAACAAATCATTAAAAGAATTTAATTCCCAAAAAATTAATCATCTTCTATCTTTGATAATTTCAGCTTTAACCAATTTTACATTTCTATACTTAAATTTATGACTACCAAATGTACTTGCATCATTATGCCGACGACCAAAATTGTTATTCTCACTGCATGATCTTTAACCAAATGTTCTATTATTGGATATATGAATAGACACGAATAAAGATTAGAAAAAATATGAATGAAAAATGCAGATCTATCTAAACGTTTATTAAATAAAACAACTATCTTTAACTTAGTTGTAATTAATAATATTGATTTCAAGAAAAGAAGTTTTCAATTTGGAAACATATATGATATAACTCAAGATACATTACATGCTACATTAAGAAAGGCATTTCAATTTTCGTTACCTGAATTTATTAGTGAAAAACCTGAACCAATACGGGAATTAAATATTAATACACAAATCTTTAAAAAATTTGAAGTAATGAACAACACAATCTGCAAATTAAATAAAATATTTGAAAATTTGCTAGCATTTAGGTTTAATGAAAAACAAGAACTAGAATATAATAAAGACTTTAATTTTACAACAATAGATTTAGAAATATTAAAGCAAGTAGAATATGGTTGTAATCTTTCACCTCTGAATGTAGTTATACTGGAACCAAGTGGATCACCAAATGATGATAATGAAATTTTACGTGTTACAGAAATATATAAAAAGATTTTTCATTAGATAAAGAAAATTTTCTAGATATTTGTGTAGATGAAGCAATATTTAGAAGGTTAATTAAATGCCACAATAAATCAGAAAATATACGACCTATTCTTGGTCAATGGCATACCTCAAAGGACATGATGAGCACGTTAATTACTTTATTTTTTTTATTTTTAAGTTATGGTATATATGATTTGGCTACAGCTTTAGGTGTAAAATTTTTGGATAAATTTGCGGCTATTGTTGACTACTGATCTACAAGAAAAGTTCTAGAGCTAATTTGGATAGCAGTTGGAATAGCTATTCAAATATATATACAAAAAAGAAATATTAAAATTGAAGAAATAGTATTTTATCCTAAAAATGAAAAAATTTGTTTAAGAGTATGGTACTTATATTATGAATGGTTTGCAATATGGAAAACTCACCTTACTGGAATACATTGTGGAAATTATGAATTGCAAAAATTTGGATTAGCAGCTTTTGCTCCACTTTTCTTGCAACAGGTAAAAGTAATTATGCTATGTCTATTACATATTTTCTTGCTAGTTTAGAAAAATATCCACAATTAGAACAAAAACTTTACTATTGTATCTCTATAAATTTAATAAGAAAAGGACATTATCTTGCTTATGATGAAGCCTTAGAAACTTATGGTATTGCTTATATTAAACAAAATATTACTGGAAATTTATGTAATCAAGAAAATTTAGAATTACAAATTAAAGCAACACAAGAAGAAAGAAAACGAATAGATACATTATTAAATGAATTTCTAGATACTCACACATATTATCGAAAAGATCGTAATACTAATAATTGTGTTGATTTATTATGGAAGTTAGCACATAATTTATTAGAAGTATTTGAAATGGATAATTCTATTAATCATGATCTTTTCAAAAAAAATTCTCCACCTCAATTAAATCAAGAAGGATTAATAAAATTAAACCAAGTATATACAGATGGAATGAAAAGAATTAAAGAAATTTATCGGCAAGAAGTAATAAAAATTGAAACAATTAATACTAAAGGAAGAAGGAAATTGTCAGTAATGAAAACTAAAATTACTGATTTATCAAAAAATAAAAAATCAAAAAAAAAGAACTATACCGGAAGATAATGAAGAAGGTAATTCTCGATTAGGTAAGATATTATCCGTTCCATCTAATGAGCAAGATTTTTGATTAATTAAAGATAAAAGTATTAAATTAAATAACCAAGAAAATGATAGAAATGGGTCTCAAATAAAATATCGAAGGGTTATAACAACCGAAGAAGAAAAAGAAATTCTAAGTTACTTATTACAAAAGGAAACAATACCTACAGAAAATGAAATTAATGAGATTTTGAATAAATTATCACAAGAATGGAATATTCAGTGTGTTAAAAGGTATTAGAATAATAATAGACAAAAAAATAATATATAGATGATATTTTTTCTTTTCGGGTTATTTGAAAATAATAAAAATCTTTTTTGTAATGTCTTAAATAATTTGTTAATGCATTTTTATTAATAAAAATAAAAAACTAATATGTAAGTTATTTTTACAAGTTAAAGTAAATATAATAAGGCCATTTTTTTACATATATTTTGGTTATTATTAATACTCATCAACCCGAAATTAAAGAGGATCTTAGGTAAAAGATCAAAATAATGAATGAAGTTGAATATATTTGAATTTCTATTTTTTTAATAATTAATATAAAAAAAAAATTGAACTAACGCTTAAAATAGAAGTCAAAAATTGATTTTTAATAGTTTAATTGTAACACTTGTATCATTTTAAGCAAGTACCGTATGTGTGAAGTTTTTTGAATAACATTACACAAGATTTTTACAATTAGAAAATTGATGTAATTGGATTTGTCTAGTGATTGTTAAGAAAAAAAAGAAAAGTACTGTATATTAAATGTTAAACGTAAACAAAAAAGCAATATTAAAAAAATGAAAATAAAAAAAGGAAGTGTAAAAATTTTAAATTTGTTCAATTGACATTTTTGCGTCACTGATAAATCAAATCACGTGTACCTAAAATCACGTGTCTGAGGACACGTAATGTCAGGTAATTATTAGCCAATTATAATCACATTGATCAAAATAATTAACAG